GGCAGTAGTTCCTCCCTTAGTGATTTTTCCTCAGAGGAATCTTCAGATGATTCCTCAATTGAAGAGCTGCACGGCACATCAGCGAGATCTCCTGAGACTCCGCATTGCACACCAGCAGAGCTCCAAGGTCATATTAAAGACCTCAAGGTGCGTAAAGCACCTGGAGAGGATCGAATTACTAATAAGGCGCTGAAGCTACTTTCGCGTAAGTCCTTAACTTATCTCGTGGCAATAGTCAATGCCGTGCTAAGGACCCAGCACTTCCCAACGGCGTGGAAGACCGCTGATGTCATAATGTTTCCAAAGAAGGTGGGTTCGATATTCCCTCAGGATTACCGCCCCATTAGTCTACTGTCAGCTCCTTCTAAGCTCGCTGAAAAGGTGATTCTACGTCACCTTGAAAATTTCTCGGCAGACCACAATGTGATTCCTGACGTGCAATTTGGCTTTCGGTCTGAGCATAGTACGGAGCTACAGGTCATAAGGCTTGTTGAACGAGTAACCAGCGGGTTCACCCGTAATGAAAGTACTGGCATCTTGCTACTGGATGTCTCAAAGGCATTTGACAAGGTGTGGCACAAGGGCCTTCTCTACAAATTGATCCATAAGGGCTTCCCCTTCTGGCTCCTAAAACTTTTGAAATTCTTTCTCGAGGGTAGGAAATTTCGGATCAAAATTAATAACGTTCTGTCGACAACACGGCCCATCAAAGCCGGTGTCCCTCAGGGTTCGGTTCTTGGACCAGTCCTTTATTCACTTTTATTCATGACGTCCCTTGCCCCAGCAGCTGTGAAACCTATCTCTATGCTGATGACACTGCCCTGGTGGTCCAGTCGTGCTCTGGGGATCTAGTTCACGACAGGCTGCAAAGTGCAGTGGACGAGGTATTGGAATGGGCGAATCGGTGGCTGATCAAAATTAATCATTCGAAAACGCAGGCAATCTATTGTACTAAAAAACGTAGCGGCGCCCCGTCTGAGGTTTCAGTGAATGGCGCTCGGGTACCATGAGAAAGCTCTGCTAAGTATCTCGGTATCACTCTTGATAAGGGGAGAACCTGGCAGAAGCACACTGAAGCGTTAAAAACTAAATTCCAAATCTCGTTTCGGCAACTCTACCCTACGCTATGTAGAACATCAAAATTAAGTTTGATCAACAAAGTTCGACTATACAAGATGGTTATTAGACCAGCGATCACTTACGCAAGTGCGACTTGGTGTTTTCTCGCCAAAACGCATTTTCGTAGCCTGCAGGTTTTGCAGAACAGAACCTTGCGTACAATCACTAACGCCCCATGGTATGTTTCCAACGAGACCCTTCACAGACACCTTGACATCCCTTACCTAAGGGACTACATCAAACAACAATCGCAGCTACGTTACAGTCAAGCAGAATCGCATAACAACCCTTTGTTGCGCGAGTCAGTAGACTACACAGTCGAGCAAATTCGCAAGCACACAAGGCTCCGACTCGCACTGTGAACAAAATTAAACCGTGCGACTTTAGGTCCAACCAAAATTATAATTTTTCTTCAACAACCCATGCCAAAATTAATTTTAGGATCAATTTAAAATTGCCGAATACTAACTAGCAATGCCAAGGCACCCCTCAAATTGATGCACTTCTTTTTTCTTTGCTCTCCCTCCTTCCTTCCTTCCTTTCTTCTTCCCTTCTTTCTCCCTGACTTTGTTTGGTATCTGGGCAACCAGACCTGACAGTCCTACTGACTTACAAGACTTCAACCAAGAGCAAAGGTCCTACGGACCGCTCTGACAGACAATGACTAATAGTAGTATCATTTGACATTGAAAAAGCATATGACACTACATGGCGGTTTGGCGTACTGAAAACACTGCATGAATGGGGAATAAGAGGATACATACTACGTTTCATTGCAGGCTTCCTAGAACACAGGTATTTTAAAGTACGTATTGGAAAAGAACTTTCAGCATCATACAGACAAGAGAACGGTATTCCCCAAGGTTCAACTCTAGGCGTGACCCTTTTTCTTGTGGCTATAAATAAGCTAATCGAAAAAGTGCCAATAGAAGTCGGAAAGTGTATATACGTTGACGACTTAACAATATTTTTTACTGCAGACAAAATGGAAGATATAGTAGGTACTTTGCAGACATCCATAAATACATTAGCTTACGAGGCCGAAAAAATGGGTTTCTCCTTCTCTCCACAGAAATCAGCATGCATACATTTTTGCAGGCTAAGGAGACATCATGACCCACCAGCTCTGACTTTGAAAGGCCCACCAATAGCTAACAGACACCATATAAACATATTAGGCATCACCTTGGATGATAAATTATACTGGAAGAATCATATAGAGGAACTCGTAATCAAAAGTAAAAAGGCCTTAAATATTATTAAATGCCTCTCAAGCATCAGTTGGGGAGGAGACAGGGATGTGTTGCTCTCATTATATAGATCAATAGTCATGTCCAAGTTTGAGTATGGAGCAATAGTATACTCAGCAGCAAGACAATCCCATCTAAGTAGACTAGAGACGATACACAAGGAGGGTATACGGTTATGCATTGGTGCCTTCCGAACATCACCGAATGCGTCCGTTTTTTGTGAATCAGGCATACCTCCCTTAAGCTACAGAATACAGCAGCTGCTACTGAACTATAGCGTAAAAATATGGGCACAACCCCAGCACCCTAACCACAATATATTATTTGAGGAAGAAGAAATATCAATTTATCGGTCTAGACCATCCATCACAAAGCCCGCAGGTGCCCGCATCCATAAGCTACTCGAGGATACAGAAACTCAGATGCCCCAACCTATAGTCTTAAATACATAGATTGCCCTGTATGGAGGCTGTCACTCCCAGAAGTTAACTTCGCATGCGCCAAATACAAAAAAGGCCACACCAATCATACACTTTATAAACATACATTTCTTGATATAATTGGTAAATACCAAAACGTAAGGAGAATAATTTATACGGATAGGTCTAAAACCGAATGGGGCATATGATGTGCATTAACAACTACGGAGATAACCCGCAAATGGCGCCTAAGTCCAATAGCCTCAATTTTCTCAGCGGAATTATACGCAATACTTCAATCCTTAAAATTGATTGCTGAGGAGGAATAGGGTTTATTCATAATCTGCAGTGACTCTTTGAGCTCACTTCAACCAATTTCTGACAAATTCAGTAAAAACCCCTTAGTTCAAGAGATTCTCTTGACCACCTACCAGCTCCAACAGAAGAAATCACAGGTCATATATGTGTGGACGCCAGCACACGTAGGAATCCATGGAAATGAAATAGCAGATACAGCTGCCAAGGAAGCCACAATGGAAGAATACTTCAACTTACCAGTCGTGCCTGAAGACGTGAAAAAATTCATGAGGTTGCAGCTACTTAATGAATGGCAGCAAGAATGGAACTCAACAAATCATTTTTTGAAGACGATCAAGCCGAACGTAACAAAATGGAATCTTCCCCATCTGACTCGTAGAGAGCAGGTCGTAATTACGCGAATGAGAATAGGTCACACAATTCTTACACATTCCCACATACTTTTAGGTAATCCACCACCAAGATGTGGGACGTGTAATGAATTGCTTACTTGGAAGCATATACTGATCGAGTGCCCATCATACATAGCTGCTAGAAGAGCACACAACCTAGCTGCTGCTTTAAAAGGTTGTTTATCCACTAATGCCAACGTAGGAGATACATTGAATTTCCTTAAATCTACCAAGCTTTTCCGTAAAGTATAATGTTATTAAATAAGATACTACTAGAAATATATTAGATAGCTGTAGGTCTATGATAGATAAGGAAGCACTGGTGTCGGATAAGTAAGTAAATGCATATGTGGGTATTCTTATTTACAATTTTTTCTGTGTTTGTCTGTACCAAGTTAGTTTTATATATGTTTGATCTTTTTTTTTATGTATTAAAAAATCTGAGCTACATCACATAACATCCGAATCACCCAGATTTACCCCTGTGGTGAAAGTGGCAATTGACCATATGGGCAGGAGGAAAGCGGCTAATGGCCTTAGCAGCCGATGCCGCTGTGGGCTAAAAATAATAATAATAATAATAATAATAATAATAATAATAATAATAATAATAATGAGAGATACTAACATAAACTTGATACACAAACAAAAAAGTAATAACAAGAGAAAGAAAAGTAAGTAGACAAAGTGCAAAGATAAAGTGTTTACAATTCTCACATAGGAAAATGAAAGCCCACAAAGCAAAGTAATAGGAAACAGGAGAAAAAAGCGATTTACAGATGCATATTTAAACAGTACACATGACAGTACCTTTGTACTACCCCATCAGCTGTTTCTTAACAAGTCTCCTGAACAGTACTATAGTTTTAATGCAATAAATTGTATCATTAGAATTATATAACCTATCAGCATGAAAGGTAAAGCTTTTTTGAAAAAGGGCTGAGTAGTGGAGTGGCAACGCAAAATTTAGGTCTGAGATTTCTCTGATTGACATTTACTCTTGGAACCAGCTTTTCTAAAATGTACTCATATGGTAGCTTCTTAGTTCGAACTACTTTATGGACAAACACCTTCATAACATAAACAAATTGTGATTCCATCTTCAATCAATTCAAATCTTTGAAGAGACATGACTATATTTACGAAGCCCAAATACAAATCTGCAGCAGTTGTTTTGAATTTTCTGTAGCCTATATCGATCCGACTAATCCAAATAAGAATAGAACAAAATTAAGGAATATTGCACATATGACATGATCAAGCTTTCAACTAATTTTTTCCTGGACTTAAAGCTTAAAATGTACCTGCTGGAATATAAAAGTTTCAATTTAGCATATGCTTTTCGAAACAGGTAAATGATGTGTTTATCAAATTTAAAGTACAGTCCACGATACTACCTAGTTTTTTAGAGTGTTCTACTATGGGGATGAGTTTGTTATCTAAAGCCAATACAATGGTATCCTATATGTTATTATGCATGTGTTTAGGAAAAAAAAACATACCCGAACTCTTTCCAGAGAGTGATTTTTGCAAAAATCTGTAATATTAATTAGATCAGTATTAATTTTTTACGACACTTCATTTAAATGAGAAAATTTACAGTGAAATGATAATTGTATAAATTAAATATAGCAGAGACCCCAGAGCTGACCACTGCGGAACACCAGTTGAAACCATCGTAGTAGAAGAGCCTCTAACCATTTTAGCTACCTGCTTTCTATCAGCCAACTAGCTTTCGAGAAATTATAGCTGAATATCAGATAGCTCAATATACTTCAGCTTGCTCAATATGATTTTGAGATTAACTGTATCAAACGCGTTTGAGAAATACGATGTTGTCAGTTATATGGAGCAAACCTGAAGCAGTGCTATGGTTCGCACGAAATCCTGATTGATGAACAGGAAACAAGTTATTTTGCTCTAAATATTCCACTAGTTGAATATACACTGGTTTCTCTAATACCTTGAAATGAAAGCATAGCAAACTAACAGGCCGCAGCTGTGGTTGAATTCTTGACCTTGGCTAAACGGGTGATAATATCATCCTTCCAAGCTTCAGGAAAAGTTCCACAATATGTGTTAAAACTTAGCATGTGACTTGATATAGGTAACTGTGTCCAAAATTTCTTCAGGGGTTATCATTCTAAATGTGAATGGAGTTGCATCTTCCCTGTGACAGCTGTTCTCATAAAACTCTATGTCAATCAATTGAGGGTTGATATTAGGATTTTTAAAATTTAACGTGAAGTGGTTTTTGATTTTGCTAGGATCTAATACAGCATATTATGGTATTACAATGTGTCTCTGGGGACAAATAATTACTCTCAGGTGAACCCAAGTTTTTCTAGAATTCAGAATACCAGAGCAAGAAAAGTATCCTTTTTTTTCACGCCGGATTAAAGCAAGTACATGACTTCCTAAGTGTTTATACGTGGTCCAGTTTTGGCCTGCTGGATAGTGACAAAATTTAATTAAAGCCTCGTCTCTCTCCTTGATAATAAATGACTATTGTTTTTCGGAGTATTCTCCACGAAGATTAATACATATCTGCATGTGCTCGAACCAATTTTCGAAGTACTTATTCCACTCGCTTGCTGGCAGATCCAAAACGGCCTTTTTGAATGCGTCAACTGCTTCTTCTGGTGACTGGAACCTTCGACCACGCAGTCTGTTTTTAATTTTCGGGAAAGTAAAGAAACCTTTAGCACTTACATCGGGACTATATGGAGGATGGTCTAATAATTCCACGTTTTCTTCTTCCTTTAAATACTGCCTTGTTTTTTGGGTTGTGTGCGAGCTTGCATTGTCTTGGTGGAGGATGATCCTTCTTTCGGGGTTGATTTTTCGAAGCTTGGTGATAACTTTTGGCAAACGAATGGTGGTATACCAATCCGCAGTAACAGTTCTTTGCTCATTAAGAGGAATTGTTGCTTTTGACACAAATGTCGCGACCATCTTTTTCGAAACACTTCGACTTTTGTTGGCTTTTCTTCACCTTGGAACACCCAAACAGCCGACTGTCGTTTATTTTCTGGTTCACAACAGTAAATCCACGATTCATCACTACTAACAATGCTGAACACATTTTTAGTTTCCGGAATTGAAACGGTCAAGCGTTTTTTGACACCAATTAACCCTGGCTGCTTTCTGCTCTTCAGTCAGCAGGTGGGGTATCCAACGAGAAACTAATTTTCTTACTCCTAATTCTTCATGTAAAATTTTTTGAATTGAGGTCTTTGAGATCTTCAAGGACGCCTCAATCTCGCGATATGTCACATGTCTATCTTCAATGATGAGTTTGCGCACAGCATCGACGTTTTCCTGGGTGACTGCCGTTTTTGGTGCACCCACCCTGGGATCGTCGCTAAGACTCACCCGTCCACGTTTGAATTCTCCATACCAACGGGAAATTGTTGATTGATATGGCGCCTCGTTACTGAAAACAGACAGTAACTCAGCAAGGCATTCTTGTTGCGATAATTGTCTCTGAAAGTTGTAATAAATTATGGCGCGAAAATGTTCTCGGTTGAGTTCCATTTTTCTAATGACTTGGTGACATTTAAAAATTCACTGTAGTGAGAACACTGCACGAATTGCTGTGAAACTTTGAATTTACTAAAGAGTGAGGTTAAGATTCAGTACTGACGTTCGATCCGCGCGGCCTACTATGTTTCTATATGCAAAACTTAAAAGACATCCTTCGTATGAATTTCTCGTCTGAACAGTTATATATATATATATATAGGGTGGCTCATCCATGTGTGGACGGAATATTACTCATAAACAAATACATTTTGGGAAAATCTATCTATGGGATGTTACATGACATTTGAGGACAGATTACTAAAATATTGGCCATTATATAGGGTGTCCCAATTTCGACCTGCATATCAAAGTTGTGATTTTTCAAATGAAATACCTCCAATTTTATTGCATATTTGGATAAACCAATTCAAAAGAAGAAAATTAATATAACATACTATGGGGTTTTGGTAATTAGCTACTGAGATATAAGGTGTTTTGTCTAGAAAAACCTCACACTTCGGCAACCCCTCAGTCCGCCATTTTGAAATTTGGAGTGCTGAAATTTGTACCAAAAAAACTTACACACCTCAGCTTTTATCTTACTAGTTACTTTTTCAACTTTTAATTTTTGCTCATACACGGTGGTCAAAAACGCAAATTGTAGTTTTTCTCAAAAATTTAAAATGCATCACCCCGCATATTTGTGCAAGTTTGGAGTCAATTTTTTCTGAGTTTTTTTTGAGACCAGACACATAAGGGTTTTTACGGCTATTTTTTCGGTTATTAGCACGTCTTTTATGGAACGGCTTAATTCCCTAACCCTAAAATATCGCATCATCCTTGGAAACAAATAAATTGTTGATTAGTTACCAACTGTCAAAATTAGCTTTGTGGGCATTATAATAAAAACGTGTTTGAAAATGAATTTTTCTAAAGAAGAAATGGTGAATATGGTATTTGTTTTGGGCGAAGTCCAAAGAAATAGTTTCATAGTATCTCGCATTTATAAGTAATCGTGCGACATCCAAGGCCGGAAACATTTTCCACACTACGAGAACGTTTTGAATCAAGTGGAGCAGTGGAATATAGTAAAAAACGTATAAATAATCCAAGTGTCGCGAATCAGTTGGAGGTTCTATTAAAGTTTCAGGAAAATCGCCATTTAAGTGAACGGCAAATTGGAGCAGAAACTGATATGTGTCCAAAGGATTATTCGCAAGCACAGGTTTCATCCATATCACCTATGCTTGCATCAAGGCCTTCGACCTCAGTTTTATAATATAAGGTTCTTTTTAGCGATGAGGCAACTTTTAACAGCATACGTGTTGTCAACAGGCATAACGTTCACTATTATGCGACGGAAAACCCTTACTGGGTTAGGCAAATAGATTTACAAAATAAATGGAGCTTGAATGTTTGGGGAGGAGTTGTTGGCAGACAAGTTATCGGGCCTTTCTTTTTCGACAACAGATTAACAGGTACAGAATATTTGAATTTTTTGATCGAGCATTTGCCTTTGTTTTTGGAGGATGTCAACCTGCAAACTCGGATGCTTAAGTACTTCCAACATGACGGCTTACCTGAGCATTATCATAACCGTGTGCGTAACTATTTAGACACCTGGAGTAACAATCGTTGGATCGGTCGTGATGGGCCTATATCTTGGCCTCCTAGATCACCAGATATGACACCGATGGACTTCTTTGGGGCTACGTTAAACAAGAGGTTCATAGATATCCACCATCTACCCCGGAAAATATGAAGGGAAGGATTAAGGATGCTTTTCTGAACATAAGGAAATACCTGCTGAGGGATGTGCAACGGTCATTTATTCAAAGACTACGGCTGTATATTCAACATGCTGGAGATATTTTCGAGCAGTTTTTGTAGATTAGGTCTTGAGTAGTGATAGTTGTTTGTTTATGTTGTTGTTACAGTTGCTTTTCTCTATTACGCTTGAAACTGATTTATACTGTTCTGATTGTTATTAGTTTTTACGTCAAATCTTTACCCTTAGTGGCAATGTGGAACTAGCCCACTGTTTGTCTTTTGTTCCCATGGATGATGTGATTTTTTTCCTTAATTTTGGTGTGTCGTTCTATTAAAAGCTTAATAACTCAAAATCTAGTGACTTTATTTGAATCAAACCTCATACGAAAAAAAGCTTATAAAAAATTGAATTCAAACTTGCACAAATATACAGGGTGGTGCATTTGAAATTTTTGAGAAAAAGTACAATTCGCGTTTTTGACCACCCTACATGAGCAAAAATTAAAATTCAAAAAAGTAACAAATAAGATAAGAGCTGAGGTTTGTAAGTTTTTTGTTGATACAAATTTCAGCACTCCAAATTTCAAAATGGCGGACTGAGGGGTTGCCGGAGTGGGAGTTTTTTCTAGACAAAACACCCTATATCTCAGTAGCTAATTACCAAAACCCCATAGTATGTTATATTAATTTTCTTCTTTTGAATTGGTTTATCCAAATATACAATAAATTGTATGCATTATATTCAAAAAAATCAGAACTTTGATATGTACAGGTAGGTCAAAATTGGGACACCCTGTATAATTACCAATATCTTAGCAATGTGCCCTCAAATGTCATGTATAACATGCCATAAATAGATTTACCCAAAATGTATTTGTTTATGAGTAATATTCCGTTCACACATGGATGGGCCACCCTATATATATATATATATATATATACGTAGTCATGCCATAAGTTCTGTCCCTCGTTTTCAAACAAGTGTAGACCTGTTAATACTTGTCCGATTGTTTACATTGTGGTGTCAGTTGATTAAGCGCTTTTCGGGTAATTACATATACCTCAGTTTGTATTGATCTCTCGAAGCATAACGATGGAGTGGGGCAAGGCAGAGAACCGTATTGCAGTGATAGCTTTACATAAGTGTAATCACAGTGCTAGTCAGATTTTTGAACTCTTACGCGGCCTTCAAATATCGCGTAAATTTGTGTCTAGGACCATTCAGCGGTACAATGAGACGTCCTCTGTTGATGACAGGCCAAGAAGCGGAAGACCTCGTCAAGTAAGGACTCCAGCAGCCATCAAAGCCGTAAAAGCCAGGATTCAAAGGAATCCACTCCGGAAGCAGAAGATCCTATCCAGGGAAATGAAGATTCCTGTCCGGACGATGTCGCGCATCATTAAACAAGACCTAGGGCTAGGGGCTTACCGGAGACGTACGGGCCAGCGACTTACGGCCACCTTGCGACACATCAGGGCGACAAGATCCAAGAAGCTCTTGGAGAGGTACGCAGCTGGGGGATTCCGAAAGATTTTGTTCACGGATGAGAAAATCTTCACCATAGAAGAAAAATTCAACCGACAAAATGACACAGTGTATGCAAGGAGTTCACAGGAAGCTTCGGAGATCATTCCGAGAGTTGAGAGAGGCCACCACCCTGTGTCAGTCATGGTTTGGTGGGGGGTGTCCTACGAAGGGGTCACTCAGCTCCATTTCTGTAAACAGGGCGTGAAAACAAAAGCGGCAAACTATCAGAGCGACATACTGGATCCTATCGTCAAGCCTTTAAGTGGTACATTGTTTGCCAACCAACACTGGGTCTACCAGCAGGATTCCGCCCCGCTCACAAGGCTAAGAGTACGCAGCGCTGGCTGGAAAGCAATGTGCCAGAGTTCATTGCTGCGGAAGATTGGCCCTCAGGGAGTCCGGACCTCAATCCTTTAGACTACAAGTTGTGGGACCTGCTAGAGCAGTTGGCCTGCTCCAAAGCCCACCGTAATATCGAGTCCCTGAAAGCGGATTTGATCCGATCAGCGGCAGATATTCCTTTGGAAGCTGTGCGTGCAGTGATAGATGAGTGGCCCGCGAGATTGAAGCAGTGTGTGAAGGCCAAGGGGGGACATTTTGAATAAAACTGTTTGATTATGAATTCTAAAAATGTTGTCGAATAAATAATATCTTTCATATAAATATATCTTATCTTGTTTCATTTTTATCATGAGATTATCATGGGACAGAACTTATGGCACGACTACGTATATGTATATAACTATACTAGCTTGTGCTCGGATATCAGATTTGTATTTAAGGTGCCAGTCTTGTATTTAAGGTGCCAGTCTAACTGTAATCACATTATTCCATGATCATATGACCATATGACCGCAGTCATATTGTTATATTAAGCACATTAAAAACGGTGTAAGTAGTTTTCGTGAAATGGTTCATGCAGACATAACCCAGAGGTCAATACACCAACCTTTGACACGTCGTATCTCAAATCGAAATCATCACGTAAGACGGTATCAAATCATTCAATACCGCTGTCGCTTTCCGTCAATTACTTGGCGCCTTGTAAAATCACGTAATGTTTATTTCTTTGATTATTATTATCATTATTATTATTACTATTATTCTAGCACGTTCACCAACTTGTTTGAAAAAAAACCGTGTGTATGCTATGTACGATTTGCGGATATGACTAACTTTTTTATCTAATTTATGGATTTGTATAGACAAAATTATTGTGGAGGATAAACAGTAAGCATCATTCGAAAACACAATCATCCATCTTCATTTTCTAAAACTGCAAGATGAAACGTAATCTTTGGACTATTGGTCTTGATGACAACACTAAAGAATTTCGAACCTTGTCGAATAGATTTTCTAGTCGTCTTGTTGTGAATTTAAAAATATTTCATCGTTTTGACGCAGCTTCAATCCAAAAATGCAATTTTACATGATCGGTTTTATGGCTTGAAAGGTATTTCATTCAAGAGTAACTTCAAAAAGTTCTTTCCAAACAGTATCCTGTGTCCACGATTTTTTCTCAATAAGAGATGCAAGTTCAGGAATGAAATACCATTTTTTGAAGTCATTGGGCTAACTATGATTGAAATGCTTTCCTTTTTGAGCGTGCAACTCCAAAAATCTGTAAAATTGCACTTTTGAACATTGGAGTCGTTGTGGCCTGGTTTCTGCCTACTTGGCAGCTAGCTGCTTCTGTATAAAAATGGCGTCAAATAGGTTGACTGTACTTTTCACACAACGCCGTTCATAAAGGATTATGTCCAGCACAAGTTAGACCCTCTGAGAAAAAAGATAGTTACGAACACGAATAACAGACAAATTAAAAGGATCAAATTAGTCAATCCCAAACAATTAGCCGATAGAGGTTCATTCCCTGCCCTACCAATAGTATTGTCAATCTTTCACCGTCGCCTCAGATGCGGCACAGCGCCACAACAGCAGTAACGAGAAGACACTTATTAAGACGCTGCTGAACGCTGAGAGCAGAAGCAGGTACGTGTATTGCAAATATTTCTCTATCATTCTTCATCCAAGTTTTAGGGGCAAATTTATGGGGAAATCTGTGATGTGTGAAATATATGTCCAACAGGTGCATAGAATTACCGAGGTTGGAATCGTGTAAGTATTCTAGCATGAAAGTAGTAACATAGTCTTGTGTAAAAAAATCATCCCACAAGGAAAGGTACTTTTCAAGTTATAGAATGGCCTTATTAGTGGACAGAGAGACCTACAGGCAAACAGGCAGACCGACCGACAGACAGATCGACGGAATTGAGTGACATGGTTTTTCGTCATATAATATCCAAAAGCATAATATCTCATTTTACAATACTTCCTCACCAGAAGGCATGTAAAAGTAAAACTAAGCTACGGCCGTCTAAGTAAAAGAAGGCGCTTACCTCAATGTCGTAATGTAAGTATACAAAAGCAGTAAAATTACAGTTGGAATAAAGTAAAAAGGAAAACAGGAGTATTTTAGAACACATGTTTTGTCGCATTCAAGTGATTTGCACACCACCATACTCGTTATGATGGAATACGTTTTTAGGCAATATGTTTATACTACTCAGATAAATGATGGCTTCACAAGTACCTATCTATAATCCCAAATTATCTTTGTATTGTGCTTATACATACATGTTTTTATTTATTATTATATTTAACAATCCGAAACATACCAGCTATATTGATTTGAGCTCACACTTTAGAAATGTTATTAAATCAATGATGCCCAGGTTTTTTAAGCCCGTGTTTAAGTCTTCTTAAAACGAAGAAAAAAGAACGGCACACTATGGTTAGTACCGCAGCTGTTACTGATGACAAACTAAGATGTAAAAAACAGGAAAAGTACTGAAGTTTTCATGAACTATGATCGCAGGACACTATGATGAACAACCAAAATAGGAGATAATAGACTACTTTCGACTGTTACAGGGCATTTTTTACTTCGTGTTATGTGTCTTGGATGTTTATGACATGCACAACACGAAAAAACTATTTTTCTCATTTCCGTCGGTCTGTTTGTCTGTCTATCTGTTGGTCTTTTGGCCAGTTCTCTAATTCCTGGCCCGTTTTTAACTGGGAAAGTACTGTTCGGACTTTCACACAAGGTTACCTCTGTGCCAAGGACGACAAACTTATTGTTTTTTAGTTTTTGGAAATCGGACCAGTTGAAAAAAGTATAAACCGCACAAACTTGTTTTTTTATGTTTAAGAGGCTCCTGATCATTCAGGTTTTTACGAGTAGATAGAGGGACACATGAGGAACGTTTGGGTGTAAAGTTCAGTGTAAATTAAGTTGAACATGACGGAATTGTTACCGAAGATATCAAAAATTTGCCTGTAAAAAGTCAGGATCAGGCATACGCTACAAAGTTACATGTTACATAGAATAAAGTAGGTACTACATCTTTATAGCATTCATGATTATTCACAAAAAAGTCCGCAGGGCTATATGAGTAACTATTATAATTAAGTTGCGGAGGAAGTGCACAGTCAACCTTTTTGATTCCACTTTATTAATTCAGCGCGCTTCAACTTGAAGAATTATCACAAAAATGTCAGTACCAAACCTTAGGTACATCAAGGCATTACTAGTATGTTATTATATTTTACCCAGAGACTGATGAATAACATGTGGCAAGCAGCAATCCAAAAATACATCTCCATGATGCCATATCTGAAATCACATCAAATATTTTTTATACTTTTTTGTGAATACACCAACGAACATCATAAGATCTGAGATAAAAGTCTAAGTATGATTTTTATGTTTGAAGAATATGTGTACCCATCAGATCAGACGCCGAACAAAAAATAATAAAAGAAAAAAATCTGATTTACGTCATTCTACTAAAAAATGAGTATTTTAAAATACAGATTTTGTAATTATAGGTACGACTTAATTTATTATTGCGAAATTAAAATACTTAAATTATGATTATGATTAATATAATTTTTATTTATTACCAGAATATTTAGAATTTGTATATGCATAGAGCTAGATATCATATACAACATAATAATTATAATCATATCGTTTACGAACAGATATAAATAAAATATATATGTATGGAGTTAATATGATAACAAAATGTTATACTTGTCTACTTACCACAGTAGTTCTTGAAAAAGTTGATTCTGATTCTTAAACGTTCCGCTTCACTAACAACACAATCGCTAAGCCGAAAAGACCACACTGTCAGCAAACTTTTCAGTATACCTAGAAAGTGGGCTCGTTCGAGTTGTTCTATTATAAATTCATTCTTCGTCCACACCTGTTCTACCTTGGATACAAACGATTTTTGTTTTGTTGCATGCCAACGTCTCTCAAACCGGATCCGAATCTGCTGATTAGCGCGTGTTAAGGCTCTAAACACATACTGCTTCTTGACCAATTCTTTGTTAATTCAGAATGTAATAAGCAAAAAAAATGCTCTTTGATTTAATATAGCAAAACGCACAAGTTTCACTAGAGACTTCGCGTGTATTCCACTATCAGTCCGATGTATCCCTTTTTGTCCACGTCGTGCGTGGATAACGAATTAGCTTCCCCCACTGTGCACCTCGCTCCCGGCAAAAAAGCGTAGAGCCGTCAAGACTCCGAGTCACAACTTGCATTATTCCCAAATTCTTTTGGGCTGCTTCTGGCATACTAACTGACTTAAGAAAGAATTATTGAGGAGTTATCATGTGTTCCGGCGTTTAATTTATGGATTTTTCAAGCCCCTGACATTGGAATTATTTTTGCGTAATGGTTATGCCTGGTGATCTAGATCAGGAGGGTTATTAAGGCAATGACGTCACTCACCTTCCACGCAAGTAAATCCATTTTACTTTTCGTGCACAAGCTTTTCATTTTTGCTGTCCGATGGCTCAATGAGGGAATCAAGGAATGTGAAAATATATGAAGATTTTGAGAAAATGTCCATTTTGCGTTCTTGACTACCTTGTATGAACTGTCCAAAAAAACTGAAAAAAGTATGCAGGTAGGGAGAAAATATGGGATTATAAAATTTTTTTGACGAAACATTCAGTCTAGTTACAACAGTTGCGGAAATGCGAGTTGTCAATGCTAAGTATTTTTTTAATAGATTGTCTAATATCTAAACAATTTGAAAGTAAAGCCCTATAGTATCTTATATCGAAGTGCTTAATTTCGAAAGACCTATCCAAATCTGAAAATAAATGTATAGCTTTATATTTCAAAATGTATGTTTGAGTTACCACGAAGTTATGAACCAGCGTGTATAGATAAAAATAAATAAATAAAAATATTTTGGAAATATGGAGCATGATAGTAGATGTCTTATGGGGATTCGGTCTCAAAACTTCCAAAATCCGCCACCAGAGGCGCTGGCGTCGCGCGCCATTGACAGGTTGTTGGACGGAATCTGTAATCGAAATTCATGAGTTGGGGATTCCGCCGCTAGATGGCGCTGTCAAACCAAACGGAATCTGTGTGTCATTGGACACCTGTCATGCGTCATTGGGCATCTCACGCATAGATGGCGTTAAAACGTCATCTGTCATACGTCATTGGACACCTGTCATTGATGGGTTGGGCATCTCGCGCATAGATGGCGCCGATTTGTTTGGCGCTGTACAAACCAAACGGAATCTATGTGTCATTGGACAGCTGCCATTGATGGGTTGGGCATCTCGCGCATAGATGGCGCCGATGCCGCATCTGTCTGGTGTTGGCGTGGATTACGGGGGGCAACGTGTATACAGGGGTGCAACGAAAAATAGCGGATCGATGGACCGACGGTATATCGTTAAATCGTATATAGCAAGGCGTGACCTAAATAGCGTGGTGGGCTCCTCTGGTCGGTCGGTCGGTCGGTCAGAATGTCTCATAACCTGTATACGATGTACTGTTATTATTATACAGGATGATACCGTTCAAAATGAAAATAGTATAGACATTCTGACAATTATTTCGCAAACCAGAGGTATTTTCAATAAAACTACAATAATACGTTTAATATTTTATTGAAAATAGAAAAAACTACATAGGTAATATGATATTTGAAAACCAGTGGCGTAGACGTTCAACATTTCTCTGGGTACAGGAAAATTGTCCGTTGGTGTGGCATGGATTGGAATCAGCAACAAAGTTTCCAGTAGCACACGGTGTACCATCATACTTGCAAACATCAATAATGTTGGGAAAAACACCAAAAATGTGACATTTCTTGAGTAAAAAGTTTGCTTTCTGTTCTCCACGAACGTAGACATAGTCAGCCGCATATATCACCTTATTTTTAATTATTTCATTTAACTTGGAATATTTAACGTCGCCGGAAGAATATTTAAGCCCATGGAAATTCTTCTCCAAGTAAGCGACAGTTTTCTTGTCTTTAGTATTTAATGTAGAAAAAGGTTGCGGAGGTGTAAAGATGTAATGACTTTTCTTGAAACCAATTTCGATACATAGTTCTTTAGGTACGAATAATCCGTCAACTGTAAAGCCTTGAATGTCAACAAACGCGATCCTCATGATGTCTGATGCGGAACTGAGAGTCCTTCGTTGCTTACGAGATGGTTTTAATAACTTCGGTGAGGGGGAAGTACTCGATTAAGCAGTCATGTATAATGATGCAGTAGGCCTTGGTGTTGGTTGGAAAGCCAGTATCGGCTTCGATATCCAATCTAACATCAACAGTTGATGATTTCATGGTTTCCTCTTGTTTGGAACAGTCAATAACAAACAAAGCGCGATTTTTAAAAGCGGTATAATCTAAAAGACATCTCTTCAGAGGAGAAGAAGAAGTTGTATAGCTGGTTTGAAAGTCGCTATAGTTGAAATGAGCTTCAGTAAAGTGATTGTTTGCAAAGTCCAATTGCATACGTTCGTTGGGATAGTATTCACCATTTAAAGATACTCGAATACTAGCAGCATTCACGTGATCAAACAGGGTAGGGTCTGAGGTTGCGACGTCACGTTTACCGGTTTGGAAACATACTATAATGAAACGTGGTCTTTCGATTGCGGTGCTAGTTTTAACTGACCATATTTCTCTTCTCGCATCTGCGGTAATTGCAGGCAGTTCATTCAGATCCCATTTTCTAAATGGTATAAGTATCGGCTTATCAGTTTGAATAGCTTTCAAAAGTTGTTCTTTCACATCATCACTCGGGTAAATATGTTTGATTTTCAGTTCCATGCTTTCAATAGTTATTTTCGCTGTCGTCGTCGTTCCAGTTTTTTCCTTGATAATGATACAATCGTTATCGTTTCTAGCTCTCACAAATCTGAGAGTTTGTCTGCCACACGTAATCATAGGATAATCATTGAAAATGTTGAAAATATGTTTAAGCGGCATTAGCAAGCTAAAAGACTTGTTATGTGTTGACGCCATTATAGGTGTTGAAGGATAGTTCCATCCAGCTATAGCCATATGATTTGAGTCTTCCTCACTGTAACATACGTAAGCTCGGACAGTACTTACAATACCAGGATCACGTACTGTTTCAACTTCTCTAGCGGATTCACTGTAAGTGCAAGAGTCAAATAGGAAGGCACCAAAGTTTGGAGCTAAAGATACATCTCCTGCTCCTCCTCCTCCAGTTATTTCAACTTTTCCTTTGATAGATAGAAGGGAAGCGTTCATTGCAAAGAACGAATCTACTTGATTGATGCTAAATTCCACAACATCATTACAATTAAATGACTTGATGAACGGCGTATAAGATCTATACTCAGCCTTGCGAATAGATTCATCGAATGCTGGAGATCGATATAGATCAAACATCGGAGAAGTATGTGATGCTGCTGCTGCTGCCTCCTCAGTTTTTCTCTTTTTGTACATGATTCTTGTTGTTGTTGACATGATATCCAAGTGAGCGTAGAAACAGGATATTTGATGTAGTTAGTAGTAGATGTCGTCGCTTAGGTGCTTGGGGTAATACTGAAGTTGCCTTGGAAGCACCACTATGTCTTATAATCACTAATCCCATCTGCGCTTCGCTCTCAACTCCAACACAAGAGTACTAGTTTCACCTTGAAAGTTTACAGGACGACCGTCTTGATCTAAAGCCAACACTGTGATGTTGGTTATTTCTTGTTTCGGTATAACAGGTAGATATAGTAAATTTACAGGTGTTTCGACTATAGCGTATCCAGGATCGGCTGTCACAGCAAATTCGTAGATCGTGTGTGCAGGCGTGTCTCCGTCAAAGGCTCCCGACGTAATGTTAGCATCAAAGTGTATGGTTGATACTTTTATTATGTTTACAGGTAAATCAGAAGAATGCTTTTGACCAGGATTAAGAACTTTTTTCGAGAATCCCAATAGATGTCCAAGATTATTCGGTTCTGTAAAAACTATTTTATAATACTTGCTAAAGATTTCACATTGCAGTGTATTATTGTTAGGTTTTAGAGAAAAATAATCATCCGGAGGAGCAACTTCATTTTCAAGATTCATTTGCGTTCGTATAAATGTTTCTATGTCGGTAATTTCATAACAACCTGTCGGAAACTCGATGACTTTTAATTGACCACCACCACCACCTATCCGGTCGATATAATAAAATTTATCTCCTTTTTCAATATTCGGTATGGAATTGTATGAAGTAAAAGACCTAAGCGCCAATTCATAATCTTTTTTCGGATCCAACACTATCGGTGTTGAAGGACGAAATGAAAATATATGAGTAGTGCTATTGACTCTCAACAACTGCGACATGATGAATGAAAAAATATAGCTGTGTACTAAGCATTTATTCAAGTTTTTTTTTTTGTTTATTTTCGAATGGATAATTTACAGAAATAACAATTTGCTTGAGCAGTAGCCGGTCCATCCCAATGTGTTGTCCAATCAGGTCTGTTGTAGTGAACATAGCATGGAAGTCGTATTTGAAGATCAAAATTGGATGTGTATTCTGCAGGCAGTTTGTGCCATATACTCAATAATTCTGCAGGTCTCACATTGCTTATTAAATATTCCAGCGGCGGAATATTCTTCTCAAACTCTTCTAATGTAAATTCCGATAATGTTTTATTATCCATCGTTGTTGTTGTTATTGTATAGAAATTTCAAACACAATTGTCCGCAATTAACTTGATTATAAGTTTGGTAAGGATCGTTGTTGTAGAAAATTTTAGCGTTTTTCAGATATCGAACAAGTTCCTGTGGAGGCTTCAGGTTACCAAATGAATCGAAATACTCAACGTTGTTGTTTATCTTTTTATAAGCTACCCAATGAGTTCCGTTGTTTTGTGAAATATCTAAGTTCACGACGGCGCATTCTCTTTTACGTGGACCGTCTCGTGGTAAAGTGTCACGCATGAAGACACCTCGGAAATGAGGTATGTTCAAGAGCTTCGCATATTGCTTTATTTCATAATCATAAAGCGCTTTCTTGGGTAGCTTGATGTTTAGTTTTTTTGACTTTTTTTTTTGAGGTACAACCCATAACCACCTTTAGCATTTTTTCTCAAATACAATCCTTTGCCCAAAGACTCCATAGCTTTGTTATGGCGATGGTCTTCCTCCAATTTCTTTTGTGCATTCTTGGC